GATGTATTTATTCAGTTATTATTTGTTAAGAAGCCACAAAATATGAGGTACTGTTTTTATTTTGTTTTGCTTTGCCTTGTTTGCACCGCTGGGGATCAATCCAGGGCCTCAAGCATACCAGACAAGTACTCCTCCTTTAAGCCACACCCCTAGACCTTGGGATTTTTTGTTGTTGTTGTTATTTTGCTGTTTTGTAGGTTTTGTGCTTTGTCTCTGGAGAGTTTTAGAATTTATTTTTTATTAATCATATTGTTAGATTTGACAGTATGTGGTGTCTTTTCATAATTTTCTTGTCTGATTCTCAATGAACATTTTCAATATAAGATCTTTAACATTTTCTTATTTCTCTATTATTCTTGCTTATTATTTCTTAAAATATTTCTTCCTCACTCTTTGCTTTTTTCATTCCTTCTAGGACTCCAATCATAAAATCTAGTCACTCTCCATATCACTAGCACTTCTTTAACATTTTTCAATTTTTTATCTTTCCTCTTCTTATTAGAGTGCAAATTTCCTTGATCTGCTATTCTAGCTTTGGAATTCACACCCATTTTGCACATTTTACTATTCAACCCATTTATGGAATTCTTTATTTAAACTGTTACGTATTTTCCAAAAAGTTTTGTTTTTACGACAATTTCTTGGTTGCTATTTCCTATATTCTCCTTTATTACTTTAGGATAGCTTTTAAAATGTGTGTGTGTGTGTTTGTGTGTGTGTGTGTGTGTGTGTGTGTTATGAGTCATTAATTCTGGCTCATCTGTTAGATTGTTTTTCTTTTATAGTAGTAGGATTCCTCAGATATTTTATTTTTCCCCCAAGCTCAGGATATAACCTAGTAACATAAGGAAGAAAGAAACTCAAAACCCTGAGATATTTTCCATACCTGCTCCAAATCACTAGGAAAAGCTATACAAGAATTGTATGTATTATGTTGACAGGAGTTGGGGCAAGACAATGAGTTATTCTCATGTTAAAAAATTATAGTATTAAAACTTGTTCAAGATCATCACTTTCTTCCAGCCAGGTCACCTTGTCCCTCAGAAAGCCTTTTTACTTACACTTCTTTTTGCAGTAATCAGCTAGCTGTCTATGAGTGTGTGTGAGTGGCTCCTAGGACCAACTGTGATTCAGTCTGTCTGCCAGAGGGTTTCAAACCAATTTTTCAATAGATTTTCAATCCAATAACCTCCTTCACCCTTCTGAGAATTCCCATGTTGGGAAATTCCATGACAGGCCTTTGTTATAATACTATATCTATTATCTTTTACTGCATAACAGTTTTATCACATACTTCATTACTCAAACAACACACATTTATAATCTCAGTTTCTGTGAATGTGGGCCTGAGCCCAAATTAACCTGGTCCTTTGAAGCCTGCTACCAAGGTGTCAGGTAGGACCAGATTCTCGTGGAGGACAATAAAAAGTACAAGCACATGGAATTTTTGAAAGAGCTCAGATCTTTGAAGGCAGTGGGATGACAGCTATAGGTTCTTGCTGGCTATTGGCTGCTGGCTGGAGGCCATCTTCAGTTTCTTGTCTTATGGGTCTCTCCAACAGCACTACTTACTTCATCAAAACCAGCAAGAGAGAAGTCTGCTAGAAAGTCAAGCATTCAATTCTTAGGTCATCTTTGTTGTATTCTACTGTTTAGAAGTGAATCACAGTCTTGCCCTCAAAAGGACAGAGTTGCACAAGGGTATTACACAAGGGTGTTACAGCAGGAGGCACAGATAATGGGTCACATGTCCCTTTTTGTAGGAAGCGGAAATCACTTTTCCCTGAAGTTTTTAAAGGCACTGAAGTGTTTTAAGCAGTAAAGTGATAGTACTTTCTTGCTTTAAAATAATCACTGGCCAGGAACTTTGGAGAAAAGATCAGTGGGAGTGAAAAATCTGAGTTATGGAATGATTAGGAGACAGAGTGTAATCCTGGTGAAATGATGGTGATTTGAACTAAGGTCATGGTAAGTGGGAAGAGAGAAAGATGGACAACTGGAGAGTTATTTTAAAAATATGATACATAGGCCTGGTAGTAGACAGTGAAGAAAGAGAGTTGAAAATATTCTGTTCTGGCTTTTGTAAATTGATGTGTTGACAGTAAGATCATTCAGTGAGGAGGGGTAGTTTAAACATGAGTTTGAGATGGGCGGGTTAGTCCCTTAACAAAATTGGAGAGACTTAACCACATTTCCTTGATAAACCAAGCCTATCTAGAGCCCCTCCTCCCACCCTGTACCGGGGATCAAACTCAGGACCTTGCACTTGCAAGGTAGGCATGGCAACAGTGAGCTAAATTCCTGGCCCTGGACTTCTTGCCTGCAAAAAACCTATTGTTAAAAGTTGTGGAGGGCCGGGGATTTAGCTCACTGGTTCTGGCACCTGCCTAGCAAGCACAAGGTCCTGAGTTCGATCCCCAGTACCAAAAAAAAAAAAGTTGTGGAAACTGGTTTCATCTTTTTAACTCTGGTCACTGAAAGGAATCTGAGGAGGGTCCCTCTAGGGGCAGATGAAGACTTCCACTTGTTCCCCACTTATGGAGTAGGTTGTGGGTTTGCTGACTTATGTCACAGAAAGGAATTTTAGGACATATCATTGAGAGACATAGACAGATTTATTAGGTAAAGTCAAAGAAGTATACACAAAAAAGTAGAGTGTAGTTGTTCAGGGAAAGGAGCATTATGATCTGGCCCTGGGAATATTTGTATTCTTGAGGGTGTCCTCAAGATGGATGATCTAGCCTGTGTATGCCTAGTGTCTTGTCAGATTACCCATTAGTGGGCTAAGTTATAATGAAAACCATTTGCATGTATTTGAAGATTAGAGATATGGTATCCAATTAATAGTGCTGTATCCTGGAGGGTAGAAGTGTGTAGAATTTTCAGGCTCAATTTACAGGTGAAAAATATAGGCCCAATTTATAGACTTCTTGTATTTTTTTATAACAAAACATTTATTGGCACATTTTAGGATACATAATGATAGCACTCATCAGGGAATTTGCACCTGTACACGGTATATCAGGCCTCTTTTTTCCCATTACTCCCCTCCCCTTACGCCCCCTCCTCTCCCTATGTACAAAAGCTTTGGTTCCATTTTTTCCTTCTATTTTCACTTTTTTTCTTGTCCCTTCCTTTCTCCCGCCCTCTCCTTTGTTCCCATTCCCATATGAACATTTTCTTCCCATTTTCCATTATCTATTATGTTTTAATCCTTACTTACATTTTCAGTTTCTCACACCAGAGAAACAATGTGGTACTTAAACAAGTGTGTCCGATTTATTTCACTTAAAAATATGGTCTCAAGATCCATACATTTAGCTATAAATGTCTCAAACTCATTTTTCTTTATGGCAGAGTAGTACTCCATTGTATACATTAAAAAACACACACACCTTCTTTATCCATTCGTAGGTTGATGGGCATTTGGGCTGTTTCCAAGACTTAGCTATTACAAACTATGCCGTGGGTTTGCATATATTGCTGTGGCATGATGCTTTTAATTCTTTCAGTAGCTGGGTCAAATGGAAACTCTAGTTCTAGCTTTTTGAAAAATATTCACACTGACTTCCACAGTGGTTGCACCAGTCTACAGTCCCACAGGCTTATTGTATTTTTAATACTTCTAGGATTTTTGTTTTGTTTTGAATGCTTTTTCTGGGAGAGAAAAAAGGCATTGTAACCTGGGGTAATTTTGTGTCTTGAACCTGCAGTTTTCTTAAAGGTGCAATTTTAAAATTACAATTTTCTTGTCTCTTTTTTACTTATCTTTATTTCTTCTGTCCTATTTGAATCTCACAAATGTGAATTTTTAGGACTGCAAGTTGTCTGTGGATTAAAAAATATGTGAATGAGTGTGCAACCAGAAATCTGCTGTTCAAAAAAAAAAAAAAAAAAAGGTATAGTTTTCGAAGGCAAAGAATGAGTTTCAGGATGACAAAACCTGCCAAGAGAATATTTTGGATTGGCTTCAGCAGCGCTGAGCACGTGTATAGATAAAGACTGGGGAAAGTCAGGACTCAAACCCGTGCCTCCAGGGTTTTTGTCCTCTAACCTCCCCTTCCAGCGAGCAGACACAGATACTGTCATATAACCTCGCCAGAGGAAAGGAACTCCCTTGTTTTCAAGAGAGCCTACGGGGCGCCTAACCCGAGCCATTCAGGAGGCCACCTGCTGAGAAAAGTAGTATGGGAACGCGGAGACTTCTGGGAATCGTAGTTCCCAGTTCGGTGCGGGGTGGGGGGAGCCGCCAGCCCGCCTGGGTCCCCCACCGTGGCTTTTTACGCATGCGCAACTCCAAGCTGGCCCAAGAAGTTCGTAGCCTTTGTTAGGGCTGGGAGGGGAGGTGAGTTGTTTGGTCCGAAATTCCGCCTCTGCGCTTCACCTCAGAGGTGCTCCGGGGGCTAGTTCTGTGCCGAAAACGGGCTGGAGTGCTCAGGTGTGAAAGAGGCCTGGCGGGCAGACCTTGAGCCAGTATCCTCAGCTCTTGCCTGCAGTCCCTCCCCGCGAGACCGGTTGAGAGCGGTCCCGGTGGGCGCGCTGCAGGTCAGGCGGACGGAGCGGGGGATCCTAGGCGAGTAACCCAAGTGCCGCGGGAATTATCTGCTTATTTTGCCTTGGCTGCGGCCCCAGCGCCATCTCTTCAGACACTCGGTCTGAAGAGCTCTCCCGGGACAGCTCCAAGCGGAAGGGACCGTTTTAGGGATGCTGTCCCCAGGTTTCCAGTCTGCCGCTTCGTAGGACCGAGGCAGGCTCTACGGTGAGGAAGAAGCCCGACCCAATCTGACCTAGACCTCTCCGCAGATTCCCACACACACACCCCTCACCCCCCGGGGCGACAGAAAGGAGCATCCTGCCTCTTGGGATTTCTCCCTACTCTGCACAGAGAGGTCTGGATTTGGTTGAAGAGCAGTATCTTCAGGACCTGGAGGAGGTGGTGATCATGGAGACAGATTTGGCACAAATGCCCGAGAAAAAAGGTAGAATTGCTCAAGTGTTGAACCTGTGTCGTGAAAGGGTGGGATTCTTCCTCCTGAAGGGAATATGGTTGCCTAGGGACGGATGACTCGTCAGAAAAGTGCTGTTTGTCTCCTTAGTCTTGGGGATATATGCTCTCTGAGTGAGTATGGAGGACTTGGCTTGGGATCTCACACACACTCCAGGGTGGTGCATAGTAGGACCTTCAAAATATTTCCCAAATATGAGCGAAATGTTAAGCTTCTGAGCACAGCTGCTTTTCTCACGTGTTCTTCCTTCCAAATGATTATCTCATCCTACTATCCTATCCAGTGGGGCTGTGAATTAAGTTTTGTGGTTGACAAAATATTTACACACACTTGTTACCCCATTTCGTATAGTTACCGTACGATTTTAATACAGTACATGTTTTTTGTTTAACATACAGAGGAAACAGACAGAAGTCAAAGACTGACTTCCGGTACTACTAGACTAGTGTCTCCTAAAGTTTGGTCTGTGATCTTATGCATCAGAATTCCCCCCGGGATTGTTAGATTTCTGGATTGCACCCCAGAATCAACAAATAGTAATTACTTTGACGTGAGGTCCAGCAGTTTACATTTTAAATAAGCTTTTAAGAGTAATTTTTGAGAACCATTGAGCCTACTTCTGTAATATTTTTGTGGGTTAAAATTATCTAATTCTCATTTCTAGATCAGAGAGTGTCATCTTCCAGAACATGTTGATTGTACCAACTGAATTTAAGTCCCAAGTAACAACATTCCTGGCATTTTCCGTAATCCTGGGAGGTGATAGGTGTTTGGGGCTCCCTTCAGTCTCAGTGTTAGTAGGGAGCACATTTAGTATGATGGGACTTTTAGACTTGGAAGCCTGAGTAGCTAGATAGGTGTAGGCTCCATCATTTTTGCTCTCTTGCCCTTAGCCATTTCTTCCCAGAATTCTTCCCAAGAGAAGAAACCAGACGAGGGAGAAGTGACAGCTCTGCGTCTCACAGCCAGATCCCAGGTGAGTGTATCTACTGATGGAAATCCACGTTATTTCTCAAAGTACAGACATGCACTCCCCGCTTTTGATGTGGAGTTTCCTTGTCCACAAGAGCCCATCTAGATAGCTGAATACTAAGAGATTAATGGAACTAGTAGAAAATATTTTCTACTTATCCACAGTACCTCTTTTCATCAAGTACTTATTGTCCATCTATAGGCAGGTAAGCAGCATTTCCTTTCTTTAGCAAATTAGTAATTAGTAGTGTTAATTTCTGTGGTTGGTAATGTAGGAAACTTTAAAATAATATGGTGAATACTTAGTAAAAATTTAAGTTTTTCTGGGGGAAACTATGCATATGACTTTAAGGATTTAAGAAAACACTTTAAATGCTGAAGTCATTAGAATAATAATAAATACAAATCCAGTTCGTGTCTCAAGATGCTGTAGAATGGACTCAAGGATGTGGGAGATAAGTAGAGAAAAAATTTATTAGAGGAAAGCTCCTGAAAGCAGGAGCGGACTCAAAAGTGGGTTGCCACAGGGACTCTTTGTCTAAGGGTTTTTATACACCAAAATGACCACATCTTAGACCATTTTGGGCCAAGCTGAGGTCAACCTATAGGGTTACAAGGAGAGTTTGACTAGAAGTGAGCCTGTAGAAACTCAGGGCATGTAGTAAGAGTGCTTTTACAAATCCCATTAATTATAACTTTTCTAAAATTATTAGCATAAGCAGAAGAACAGAGACATTCTTCAGAGGGGTATGAATGGATACTTGGTGGTTCTGATTATCTATCACCTTTTTATCTCTTTCCTGGGCAGGAAGATCTCACCAATTTAACATGGAACCCTTGTTCATCAGACTTCTGGAGCCCTGGCCTTGGCCATTGTGTTTTCATCTTGGGGCCTGGTTTTTTGTCTCAGGCTCTATCTTATCTTATCCTTCACTGGGTCATCCTGATTCCCTCTCAGGCCTGCCTTTTTCCTAGCTGTCTGTCCTGCCCATTGAAATAATAGTTCAAACAAATTCTAGAAAAGGAAAGCCTATAAAGGCTTAAAACTTTAGAATTCAGTTCTCTGAGTAAATGAATGCTGGTGTGTTATGTCTGTAACTTACTTTTATATTATTGTCCTTTCTCCGAAAGAGCAAGTATGGCAAATATTAAGGATTGTTGAATTTAGGTGGTAATGGACTATGGGAAGTCACTGTGTTTGTCCTTTAACCTTTATATATGTGATATTAGATTTAAGACTGTGAAAGCATTGATGTAGATTGAATCTTTTATGGAAATTTTTTTAAAATCTATCCTTTTTTGCATTTCATTAAATCTTATTTGAAGCTAATATTGCAACTTTTTCATTAATAATTGGACTATTATGTTTTACTTACTAGGGTTTTTTTTTAAGTATGGTTTTAATTCTTGCTCATTTGACAGGAAAAACAGCACAGAATATAAAGGTAATATTACTTCCCTCCCTAAATTCAGTCCCTTATCTCTCCCAACCAATGGTAACAGGCTGATGTATATTTTTCCATATTTGTATTGAGTTTGCATTACTATATTCAGGCTTGTAACATACTATATTTCCCTCCACGCACCCAACGTTGAAATATTTTGTTTTGGGTAGTCTATTCTCTATGGCTTTTTTAAAAAACCTTTTTTAAAAGGAAATAATGCTCATTCACATTTAACATGTATGTTTCAAATTTTTCCTGTCATATGTAGAATTCTGTTTCCTATTCTTTATCTTTTTGTATTTTTTCTGCCTTTTGTGCAGTGGTTTACATTTTTGTTAATATGATTTTTTTTCTTCTGTTTGGCAGTTAATTTCCACTGAGTGTTAATATAGCTATTCTAGAATCAAGGTCATTTTTTCTCATAATGTCTTTTCTGTTTAATGGATACTTAGTGGTTTTACATTTTATTTTATTTTCGAAGGATGATTCTTTTCTTAAATCTCAGATTATTTTCATTATGTAATGTTTGTTTTGAAAAATTATTAGACATGAGAAATATTCCACATAATACAGAGATATCTTTCCTACTGTTTATCCAGATTCTCCAAAAGTTAACATTTTACTTTGCATTATTACTGTTTTTCCAAAATTAAAACAGTAACATTGGTATATTAGAGTAATCCCAGGGGCTTTATTTTTCTGTTTTCAAAATTTCTGTTTCCTTTGTTTTTGTTCAATTTGATTTATATGGTCTCCTCATTTATTTACATGGTTTTTTAATGAAATGAAAGTGTTTAACGCTGTGACATTCCCTGTAAGTACAGTGTTAGTCATTTGACATTGAATTTCACAGTCATTATTTTGTTCTGTTTCTATTTGGGAATTTATTGAAGATTATTTTGTTTTTGCAAATGCTTCATGAATGTTAAATAGAAGATGTTTTCTATCCAGTTACAGCATTTGGTATATGTTTGTTTTGGCAACCTTGGAATTTTATACCCATTCCCTATGGATTTACTTAAAGGGACATGTTCAGTACTGATACGTTTCTATCTGCATATAGCTTTTATATTTCTTATAGAGGCTATGGATTTACTTAAAGGGACATGTTCAGTACTGATACATTTCTATCTGCATATAGTTTTTATATTTCTTATCTTATAGAGGTGATATAATATGTCAAAGAGGAGATTTTAAGATATAATGGTCTTAGAAATAATAATCTTGATATTTTACACATAAATATTTTTAAATTAAATCTGTAATCTTAGTTTGTCACAGTCATTTTCCAATTTAACACATTTTACCTTGAATTAATTCCATGTTAACTGGATTTGGTGCTCACTCCCAGTCTTTTTATTTAATGACTTCCCATTTACAAGTTCTTTATTATAGTTCATATTCTGAAGATTAGATTGATAGGACTCATAGGGGAATTGTGTAGACATGCCTGTGTTTTTATTTTCCTCCACCTGTATTTTGTTTACCAAATTATATTGGTGACTCATTGGTTTATATTTCAATATTTTATTCTCCAGAAAAATTGTCGTCTTTCAGTGGAGCCTCCATGAACTTACTTCATTTAATTCTCACAATATGCTTGGCTCATAGTTAATCCTCAGTAACTCTACATAGGATAGTCAAATTTGAACACCATTAGAATACTTACCATTTCCTCTTGTTGATTGTATAGCAGGCCTTTGCTCCAATGCAAACAGAAATGGAAGATAAAAGAGAGGCTATCAAGTGAAACATAGTGAACAATGATATGTTTATGTCTTAGGAAACAGTGACATTCAAGGATGTGGCCATGGACTTTACACCAGAGGAATGGGGCAAGCTGGATCCTGCACAAAGGGATGTGATGCTGGAGAACTATAGGAACCTAGTCTCACTTTGTAAGAACATATTATTGCAATTCTGAAATATCATTACTCTATTGAAAATGAAATAGCTTAACAAGCCTTTGGTTTTGAATTTAGAAATCATAAAGTATTAATTCTTTTGCACCTAGAGGTAAATCTATTTCCTTTTTGTTTTGGTGCTGGGTGTTGAACCTGTGACCTTGCACATGCTAAGCATAAACTACTGCTGAACTTCCTCTCTAACTGAAAAAAATCTGGGTTTGCTCTAGGTCTCGGTGAAATGTCTGTAATTGCTATGTAACAAGACTCAAGTGACAACCTGATTCATATTAGTTTAAGAAGAAAAAAGTCTTGACTAGGAATCAAATATATTATCAGGACTTTAATTAATTTAATTTTAATCAGTTGGCTTGGCTTTGCATGAGCTTTATTCTTCTCTTTCTATTTTTTCCCTCACTCTTCTTTTTCTCCTCCTCCCCTTCCTTCCTCCTCCTCCTCTTTTTTTTCTTTCTTTTTTTTGTTGGTACCAGGAATCAACCCCAGGGCCTCACACTTGCCAGGCAGGTGCTGCACCACCTGAGCTACATCCCTGACCCTCTTCTTTTTCTTTGAGGCAGGGTTTTGCTAAGTTGCTGAGGCTATCCTTGAACTTGCAATTTTCCTGCCTCAGCCTCTTAATTAGTTGGGATGACAGATACATATAAATGTGCTTAGCTGAGCTTTATTCTTAAGGTCTCTATGTGGCAGAGATGTCCATTGGTAGTTACATTATTCTTCCAGTTAGAGAGCTAAGCAAAAAAAGAAAATGATTCTGTCTTGGGAGTTGTAGCAAATAAGGTTGCCAAATCTCATATAATAGATCCCTTAAAAAAGTGATTTCCAAGGCTGGGGATTTAGCTCAGTGGTTCTGGCGCCTGCCTTGAAAGCTCAAGGTCCTGAGTTCGATCCCTGGTACCAAAAAAAAAAAAAAAAAGTGATTTCCAGTAATTGAAAAAAGAAGAAAGAGAAAATTTTAGAAGACAGAAGCTGTAGTTACCATAGTCACAACTTTGTTTTCCAGCTGAGGTCCAATTTTTTTTCCATCTTTCATAAGATAGACTAAGCTGCAAAAATTTCTACACATATTAAGGAAATTTAGAGGCATTTTCTTTCTTGGACAGATAAAAAACATTTATCTTCACAAACATAGTTTAACTCTTTATCAGGCTTAGATTCTGCTACATATATTTAAAGATCCATCCTCCCCTTTGCCAGGTCTTCCTGTAATATCCTGTCTTTGCAGATTGAGAGATTGGAGTTATACTCCAATGTAGAACCTTGTTACCATTATAAATAACTAAGTACAATTTCTTTTTTACTTTCTTTCCTTTTTTCAAAATAAACAGGGCTTCCAGTTTCCAAACCTGAGAACTACAATTTGGACAATGGAATGGAACCATTGAAATTTGAGAGAAAACCACCAAAACGTAGCTACTCAGGTGAGTCAGGTAGATGAGAATCTTCAGAAATGTCCTGGAGGACAGTGAATAAGTGTTACTTTTCAGTTCTAATAAAGAATATTAGAAGTGCCTATGTGCCTTTCTTTATAAAATACTTTATTTTAAATTTTAAAACACTTTAAATACATAATGAAATCCAGAAATAAAATAACATGTATCCATCACCAAAATTAAACACTTGCTAATATTTTACTTCATTTGTATCTTTTCTTTCTCTTTCCTCCTTTTTTTGCAATATAAAATGCATAAAAGCATCATGACTGTTCAATTCTGTGAATTTTTACAAATGAAACACATTCGTATAACTAGTCCTCAGATCAAGAAAACAACTTTGCCAGCACCTCCAGAAGCATTCTCGTACCTTGTCTCCATCACCTCCCTCCTGTTAAGGATAACCTTATCCCAACTTGTAACACCATAATTTAATTTTGGACTATTCTTGAATGATACTGTATATATACTTGTGTTGGCTTCCTTCACTGAACATTAACTGTAAGATATATACATGATATAGTATGGTATACTATAGTTCGTCCTCATTGTTATATAGTCTTTCCTTATGTGAGTATTCTAACTTATCCATTTTCCTGAAGGTAAGCATTTGTATAGTTTCCAGTTTTTGTTTATGTGAATAATGCTGCTGTGTATATGCTTTCACATGTCTTTTCATGAACACGTACATGAATATCTGTTGGATATACACATGCAGGTAAAATTATTGAGTCATAGCTTAGGTGCATGTTTGTTTTTGGTAGAAATTGCCAAAGAAGTTTCCAAGGTTATACCAATTGTATTACTACCAAGAGAGGATGTGAGTTTTAGTTACTCATATGCTTATCAACACTTATATTTTCTGCCTTCATTTTAGCCATTCTTATGGATTTGTGATATCTTTTACTTTTTAAGAAATAAAAAATATTAGAGATTTAAAGTCCTTTCATTCTTTTATTTTCTATAAGTAAGCACTATAAGAATCTCAAAGATGGTATGAATGATTTTAATATTGGCATGAGTATATGTAAGTATACAAACATGTATGTAAAACAATATGTATATTTTATTGACACGTGCATAAATAATATGTATGTTTTACTTTTATGCTTTTTAAATCTAGTTTTTTTAACTTAATATATTTTATTAATCTATATTAATCTATAATGAATTGTGTTTATTTTAGCTAATATGGAATAGGTCCATTATGTGAATAAACTGAAAACTTTATTTTTTTGCCATTAGTAACTGAGTTGCAATGATCATCTCTGCATTGACTCATGTTCATCTTGAGAATTAGGATTAATGAAGGTAGCTACCTGGAGGAGGAATATGTCAGTCTTGAAGTATCACATGTTAATTTTACTAGGAATTATCAAGGTCCTACCACCCTAATACTTGATGTTTTCAGGCTTGTTAATTTTGTTAATCTGGTGGTTGCAAAATGCTATTTCATGCTTTTAAATTTGCATTTAACTGAATGATAAATATGAGTGAGTTTGAGCATTTTGTGTTGATTTGCTAGTCAGATTTTCTCTTTGTGAATTAGTGATGCTTTTTGCCCAATTTTAAAAATTGATCTGTTCACATCTTACTCGTGACTTTGTGGAGGTATTTGTATATTTTAAATTCTAATAAATGACAAAGGGAGCCTTACAAATTATTGAGAAAAATTTTCTTCTGATTTTTGGCTTATTTTTATTTTATGACATCTTTTTTTTTTTTTTTGTACCGGGGATCAGCAGGCAGCGGAACCACTGAGCTAAATCCCCGGCCCTTAAATTGAAATGTGGTTTGTTTGTTTGTTTGTTTTTCTGATACCAGGGATTGAACTCCGGTCCTTGCACTTGTGAGGCAGACAGCAGAACCACTGAGCCAAATCCCCGGCATTATGACGTCTTTTTTGTCTTGAATTTTTAAATTTTGATGTCAGATTAATTAAATTTTTTATATTTCTGTTAATTATCTTTCTTATCACAGTATCAGAAATATTTTTTGTATTTTTTTCACAAATGTTCGTTTTGTTTTACATGTATTTTCATATGTGGTATGAAATAAGGAACTAATTTTATCTTTTTCCATCCTTACATTCTATATTCAAGCATCATTTATTGAACAATCTTTTGTCATTGATTTGTAATCCTATGTTTGGAGTAAACCCAGTTCCTCTATATACTTGTTTCTGGTTACTCTGGCTTAGTTGTTTGTCTGTGCTCTTATTACCGTACAGTTTTAATTACTATACTTTAATAGTGTGTGTGTGTGTGTGTGTGTGTGTGTGTACAAATCCTTTCTGAATGTTCTCTTTAAAGTTCTATTTTGAATACCAAGAAAGCTTTAAAATCTTTCCCTGTGATTATAGGTATGTCTCTTTCTCCTTGTGGGCCTGTCAGTTTTGGGATCTTGCCTACTCACTACTCTTCTTTTGGGGGGTATTGGGATTTTGGGGGGGCTATTGCTATTTTCTTAGTGATTTGTAAGACCACACAATTTATCCTTTGTTATATTATAGATTTTTACCTTTCAGTTTTCCTATGATTTTTGGTGTACAGAATTAATATTATAATCTTTTATTTTCTGCCTTTTGAGTACTGTTGAAGGGCCTTCCTCATCCCAAGATTATATAAATATTTGCTCCTGCTTTCTACTATATTTGTCCTTTAATTTTTCCTTTTAGTTATTAATCCATTTGGAATTGTCTCTTGCTTTTGGGTGTATCTTCTTAGCTTTCTTTTTTGAGCAACAAAATTTTTAATTGATCAAGATTTAATTTTAAACTGTGTGTGATGGTGCATGACTATAATCCCAGCACTCTAGGAGGCTGAGGCAGAAGAATCAAAAGTTGAATCCCAGCCTGGTCAGTTTAGCAATTTAGTGAGAGCTTGTCTCAAAATAAAAAATTGAAAGAAGGTTGGGATGTAGCTCAGTGCAAAGACCCTGGTTCAATCCCCAGTACCGGAGGCGGGAAAAAAAGATGTAATTTTAATCTCCCTTTTATTTTGTGTACCTGGAGTTATAAATTCAAGTGTTTACAGGGGTGAGGAGATAATATAACTGAGCAAAGTAAGCAGTATGGGAAATAGTAAAAACTAGAGGGGCACATGCCTCAACTAAAAGAAGTAACCATTACTCTTTAGCTTTAGCTCAAGGGCTGGCACGTTTTTTATGTAAAAGGCTAAGTAATAAATAATTAGGCTTTATGGGACATATCGTCTTTCAGGATGTACTTAGTCTGTCATGATAGGGTGCATGCAGCTTTAGACAATAAGTAAATGAATGGTGGCTATCATTTAGTAGCCTTCCAGCTTTTTTTTCTAGAGAAACCCAAAATTTGGTTCTGTGTAAAATCTCCCTATTTTTCAATTTTGGCAGCAAATTAAAAAATTTTGTATACAGTGTAGGCCAGATGCAGCAGAGTCTGAGATCAGAACAGGTCATCTGTTTGCAGCCTCTGCCATCCTGTTTGGTAGTTTAATTACACCCACAACCTTTTATGATCTATTCAGATGATCCCCAAATTTGTATTTCCATTCTAGACCTCTTGTAGGAGATCCTGCTCTGAAAATCTGCATAATTATTGGATATCTGTATTTGCTTTTATCAAAGACACCTCAAAACAAAGTGTTTAAAACTGAATTTCTGAATATGTCCAAATTACCCAGTTCCTTATTCTCCGAGAGAATATTATTCCTATTTCTCCAGGAGAATCCTTTCCCCAGTAATTCTCTTATGGTATTTGCTGTCTTATCAAGTTATACATGCCAGAAATCCATGAATAATTGTGTGTGTGTGTGTGTGTGTGTGTGTGTGTGTGTGTGTGCGTGCTGGTGGTGGTACTGGGGATGGAACCCAGGGCCTCACTCATGTGAGCCAAATGTTGTACCACTGAGCTATGTTCCCAACCCTTTTTAAAAATTTTATTTTAAGACAGGGTCTTCTTAAGTTACCTAGGCTAGCCTCAACTCTTTAGTCCTTGTGCCTCAGCCCCCAAGGCAGCCTTTGAACTAGCTGAGATTGCAGGCATGCCACCATGTCTGGGTCTGAGCAGTCTTTGTATTTCCTCTTCTCTCCATTGTCATTGTATTTACCTAATTGTATTTTAAATATTTCTTCACTGTTGATATCGCACCCTAATCCCTTTTGTTTGCCTAGACTACTATGATAATCTTCTTGATTTCACCTTTGTCCCCATATATTCAATTCTGTGTATCTTAGAATGTTTTCAGAATCACATTGGATGTGCCTTTTTGCTTTAAACATTTCAGTGGGTTTTTTTGCCTTTAGAATAATAACCAATTCTGCGTGCCCTACAAATTCTTACAAAATCTGACTTTTACTATTCCTACTAATTTCACACCTGTTGTTACTTCATCTCTATGCTCTCTTGTAACAGTTCTTGAATGCTTTGGCATCATAGGACCTAGCACAACTGTAAAAATTATTGAAAGCCCTAAAGAATTTTTGTTTATGTGAGTTATATCTAGTAATATTATTGTATTATAAAGTTGAGAACATCTTAAGATACTGGTTAATTCATTTAATGTTGTTACAAACCCATTTAATGTTAATATAATAAAATTTTTATGTAAAATAACCACTTTCTGAAGCAAAAACATGTTAATGAGAAGTATGACATTGTTTTATACTTTTACAATTTTTTTTTTTGTTTTGGGGGGCGGTTTGGTACTGGGGATCAAACTTGGGACCTTGCGCTGCGAGGCAGGAGGCAGCACCACTGAACTAAATCCCTGGCCCTACAATTTTTTTGATATATGACTTGATATATTTTTGATTTTTGGTTTGTTTGGGGTTTTTTTGGTATGGGGGATCAAACTCGGGACCTTGCGCTTGCAAGGCAGGCGGTGGAACCACTGAGCTAAATCCCTGGCCCAATAGCTGTATTTTCACATGTGCTTCTGTGTGATTCTGTGCGCTTCTGTGCTTCATTGTGATAGATTGTTTTGATTGAAGTACATGAAAAAAATCCAGCATTACTCATATCTAATTGGAAAAGGAACTATTTTATAGTCTTTAGAGATAATTATGGCTATTCCTATTCAGAATTGAACCATAAATTTTTCATACTCTACTACATTAACATCTATATTAATGTCTTGGAAAATACTGATTCACTAAGTTAAGCCGATATTCCAAATGTTGACACTTTGCATTGTGTAATATTTGTTAAATTACAAATTTCAATGACAATGCAGACCTTAGGAATGTCTACATTTTGAGAAGCTAAAAGAAAACTGACTGTGTCTATATATTCATATCTATATAGTCTCTATATATATATCTATATAGAGATACATGGTAGAAAAGAGTATAATAACTACTAAGTTTGGTGTCATTGTTTTCATTCTTAAGTTGTAAGCAGTTTTACCACCATTACTTTTGCAATATCAGTGTAAATATCAAGACAATGTAAAAGGCAAATAACATCTATGTATTATTTTGAAAGTAGTATTACACCCTTCCATGGGTCCACATACCACTTTGAGATCTCTGTTTCTACTTACCTATATTGATTTATATTTTACTTAACAAACATTTACATAGCACTTATGCTGTCAGTGTTTAGTGCATAATACTCTAATGCTTATTAAGTCTTCTAATTATTCCTAATGAAGTAGGAACTGTTATTACCCTATCTTATGCATAAGGAAACTGAATAGAGATAATAAATTTCACACAGTTAGTAAATGGCAGAGTGGGGTTTCAAATTCATGTGTTCTGATTCCAGAGTCCATATTCTTATTCACCATGCTTCTCTTGAATGTCCTCCTTACCTTGGGGGTTGTGTTCATCTGGAATGCTCATGTCAGTGCTTTTGTGCACTGGAACACTTACCCCAACCCCAACTCTGCTTTCATTCAATTTAACGATTTACTTTTTCAGGGAAAACTCCCTCCTATTCCCCCTCTTATGATTTTTCATAACATCATTTGCCTTATATTTCTCAATACTTTCAAAAAATGCATTTTGATACTTACTTGTCAGTGTTAAACTAAATTCTCTCTTCCTCTATGTGCATAGGGATTGTGTTTGTTTTGCCACAGAAACTAGCATAAAGCCTAACACATATTCAATAGATATTTGCTGAATAAAACAGACATATGAATGCAGAGATGAATGAATAGAATTTATATGTGTTTATGGAGTGAGGGATCTAACTTAATTTTAAATGTTTAGTTGTCATGGCAACATTTATTGGAAAAACAAATCTCTGGTTCAGTAACTGAAATATCTTCCTATTGTTATATGTGCTATTAGAATATAGTTTATTTCTGAATTTACTCTTCTATTTCACTAGTGTATTCTCTTAAATCATTGTTTAAATTATTTCATTATTATAAAATAGTTTTATATTGGATGTAAACTTCTAATATTTATATTAGACATATTTAAAGAGGCTTAGCTCCCATTTCTGCCCTGCCCTTTGTTCTAACATTTCCCTATAAATGATCCTTTTTATTTTTTTATTACACCTTGCATTTTTTTAAAAATAATATATCCTGGAGAACATAGCAATATATAAAAGTCATTTCTATTTTGAAAAAGTTGCATAGTACACAGTTTTATGTATCCATTATAGTTTATTCAGTCTTTTCTGTGTATTAGATATTTGAGCTTTTGCCAGTGTTTTGCTGTCTTAATAGATATTGCAGTGAATATACTTGTGCATTTATTATTTCTTATATTTGTGTTATGCCTTGGATAGATCATAGGAGATTTTCAATAAAAACATTTTTAGGAAGATTACACTGGCTGTGGAATTGTATCTAATCATGAGTAAGATTAAAAGACTGGAAACTTAGAAATCATAACTGTATTCTACAGTAAGATGATAACTGCCTTAATATTTGCTGCAGTAAGTATTCGATAAAAAATGTTTTCTCCTATCCTGATCTCTCATTGTCTCTCATTCACTGATACTCATTGTATACTCATTGTCTCTCATTCACTGATATATCGCTTCATCTACATCCCTCTTTCTCCTACATTCCTGGTCAACTTTTCCTTCTTCTGACACTCCTGCCTGAGGTATACTCATTTTCTCTTTGTACACTATTTGTTTTCTCTATTTACTTCTCTTATGGAAATCATCTAATAAGAATCAGGCCCACTTATTTCTTCAAAACATGCTTTTCACCTTCATTAACTCTTACCTATTACAGAACTGCCTTTTTGTTGAGCATAGAAAAATGAAGAAAATTTGCATTTCCAATGTCTTTCAGACATGGAGAGTATACCTGAGAGCAAAGATTCAACCTCAGTGCAAGATTTTTCCAAAGAAGAATCATGTCAAGATGTAATAATGGACAGACTAACAAGAAATAGTGTTTATGACTCCACCTTGGAAACAGCTCTTGAATGTGAAAATTGGTTAGAGAATCAGCAAGGAAATCAGGAGAGACACTTGAGACAAGTGTTCACCCACATGAATTCATTTGTTGAAGAAAGAAATCAGCATGATATATATTGGAAAAACTTCAGTCATAAGTCTGTCCTTATCACTCAAGACAGAGTTCCCAGAGGATCCTATCCATTTCATACACTGGGTACAAGACTGAAGCAGAAGTCAAGCTTAATGAAAAAGCAAAGAACCTATAAAGAGAAAAAACCTCATAAGTGTAATGATTGTGGTGAACTCTTCACTTACCATTCAGTACTTATTCGACACCAGAGAGTTCATACTGGAGAGAAACCCTATACCTGCAATGAATGTGGGAAATCTTTTAGCCACAGAGCTAATTTAACTAAACACCAGAGAACTCATAATAGAGTTCTGTTTGAGTGTAGTGAATGCAAGAAAACCTTTACAGAAAGCTCATCCCTTGCAATACATCAGCGAATTCACATTGGAGAGAGACCTTATGAATGCAGTGAATGTGGGAAAGGTTTTAATCGAAGTACACATCTTGCACAGCATCAGTTGATTCATACTGGAGTAAAGCCTTATGAATGTAGTGAATGTGATAAAGCTTTCATTCATTCATCAGCACTTATTAAACATCAAAGAACTCATACTGGAGAGAAACCTTATAAGTGTCTAGAATGTGGGAAAGCCTTTAGCCATTGCTCATCCCTTACCAAGCATCAGAGAGTTCATACTGGAGAAAAGCCATATGAGTGTACTGAGTGTGGAAAAACGTTTAGTCAGAGCACACACCTTGTTCAGCATCAGAGAATTCATACTGGAGAAAAGCCCTATGAGTGCAGTGAATGTGGGAAAACTTTTAGCCGGAGCTCAAATTTTGCTAAACATCAAAGAATTCATATTGGAAAGAAACCCTACAAATGCAGTGAATGTGAAAAAGCCTTCATTCATTCATCAGCTCTTATCCAGCACCAGAGAACTCATACTGGAGAGAAACCTTTTAAATGTAATGATTGTGGGAAAAGTTTTAAGTGCAGTTCATCCCTCATCAGACATCAAAGAATTCACACTGAAGAACAGCCCTGAAAAATTACTGAATGTGAGGAAATGTAAGTTGTTTTTATCACTGTTAAATACATGAATGTTTTAAGTGAAAGGCCTGTAATATGCATCTAATTTCACTTGCCTAATAACATAATTTTGCTCTTAGGTAAGATGTTTCTTGTATGTGTTTATTTGATAATTATGAAAACTTCTAACTATAGATCTTAAAATTCTAATTCCCAACCTCACAGATATCCATTTGTGGGAATTCAGGAAATGCCAGGAAAGAATATCACTATAAACATTATGAAATCCAATTTCCCCCTTCTCTTGTTTGTACCAGAGCTCCATTGTAGCTCTTCTTTTGGAAGGAAATGATGTTGTATGTTGGTTTAAGGGCTCATATATTTATCATCAGGAAGACATAGAGTTGTTACTCTGAATCCAAAGTAGACACCCACATATGTGTAATGACATCATTTCTTTAGAGTTATTTCTCACATATAAGGCATAGGAATTGTAAAGGGCAAGGGTTGAAAGCTGCTTAGGATTTCCTTCCTTCCCTCAAAAACTGCTGTCTAGTTTGATGAATATAGCTAAATGTACTTACAGCAGATCTAAGTTATTTTCCTGTGGATTATGTTGGTCATGTATTTAGCTAATTGCTATCCCTCTGTTGAGGAGATCTTCATTTCCCAATTCCCTTCAGTTACTCTGAAGTAGAATAGCTCAAAATCTTAACTGTATGTTTATCAAGTCCTTCTTTTCTTATTGTCATTGATTGAATCATTCATTTTCTAAAATCAAATTAACAGGGAGACTTCATTTCACTACATTACTTCTGCAAACTATACTGCATCATGTTTAGAAAAAGCCTTAGGGATACTGAGAGTCTGAAAAGTTGATAGATTCAGTGTATTACTGTATTTAGGGGCTCAGTCAAGAAAACTGAAGCAACCAGGAGGCACCAGAGCATACTTTCCTGTCAGGTATGGAAAAAGCTCATGAGGTGATCTTAAAGTGACTAACTTGAAGATAAAAAGCTTCCCCTCATGAAGAAGTTGCCATTTCTCTAGTCTCCATGCTTTACCCACATTTTTTTGGAGGTTTTAGTTCTCCATATGTTGGTTTGTCTTTAAGTCTCCAAGCCCTTAAGAAAGTAGATAAGGCATGCAATCAGAATGAGCCTAAGTTACATGGGTGACCAAAGACCAGTGGTCAGATTGGAAACAAAAAGCAAGACTTCAAATAAACATTTAGTGAAGCACTATATTTATGTCAGTTTTTTGTTTATTCTGTTTTATATTATGGTATATGAAAACTATAGAAAAATTACAACAGATTTGTGCTCTCCTGAATCCTACACTTCTGTCCATACTTTTGTCTTCTCCCTATTTTCTGTTACTTTTAATTCCTTCTCATTAGGCGTTGTTTTTTGATGAAAGAAAATTTGGATAGAATTTAAAGGCATGATATTGGAAAGCATTGCCATGAGGGATGAATGGAGTATATATCCAGCAATGGTGGAAATCACACAAAATGAGAATAAACTGACTTTTCACACAAATATAATGAACAGAGAAAATCGTTGGAGGGAGTCAAGATCAGTGGAAAGGCTTAGGGTCAGAGGTCAAATTAGGAGAATGGTTGACAATAAAATATAGGGAGTGGAGCTCAACTGTTCATCACCTTAGTATTATTGGTTGGGAGCAGGAATTGAAAGCTATGTCCTGAACTCTTAGACCAAGTCTAGCCCATTGCCTGTTTTATGAATTTTACCGGAACAGCTGCACTCATTTACATCTTTTTTTGTGCAACAGCAGACTTGAGTAGCTACAACAGAGATTGTTTGGGGGCTGCTATTATCAAATCCCATAAACTGGGGGTTTTTTTCTAAATATGTTCTCATTTCCATTTATTTATTTGGTACTGGGGATCACTCTGGTCCTTGAGCTTGCAAGGCAGGCGGCAGAACCACTGAGCTAAATCCCCGGACCAAAACTGGGTATTTTATAAACAACAGCAATTTATCTCTCACAGTTCTAGAACCTGGAAAGTCCAAGATGGAAGTGCTAGTAGATTTGTGGAACTGCTTCCAGATTCACAGAAGGCACCTTCTCTCTATCTCCTCACGTTGTTGAAGGGGAGAATATTTCCCTCTTCAGACACTGATCACCTTCATGAAAATTCCATTCAATGATCTTATCACCTCCTAAAGGTCATAACTCCTAATACCTTTATGTCAATGATTAGGTTTCAGCAAAAATTTCTGAGACTCCACTGTCCATACCAAAGTGTACATTCCCAAAATTGTAAAATATTTACTATTTTGCTCTTTACAGAAAATGTTTGCTAGCCTCTGTACTAGAGAATTCATACATATCAAGAGATACTGTATAGAGATTAAATCAGAAATCATGTAGAGTGGAAAAGTTGTGATAATGATGAACTTAACCTTTCACTAGGGACTAAAGCCATTATAGTTACCTTCTTAATCCAGACTGATAAGCAGAGTAATCAGTGCTCCTGTCACTTTTTTTTAAAAGGTTACATACTATTGAAAGAGAAAAAGATATGGGGTGGGAAAAATAGAAAATGATGTATAAATGATGATCCTAATTACTAGGGTGTTACTACATTTGTTGGATATTTGCAGCTATTAAAGCTTTTTCAGTATGCCAAAAAGCTTGAGTGAAAAGAAATTTAGTTGGAGTCCAAAATTTGACTAATGAAATAAGACCAACGTGGACTTTTCAAAGTTGAGTTTGATTTCTGCCACTCCCTGTCAACAATTAGAAGATACTGAAAACCACTTATACTTCCTCTGAGTTTTGATTTCTTAACCTATAAATGGGATAAAGCATCCTCTCCTCTTAAGGTCCTCATGAAGAATAAAAGAAGATAATTACATAGATAGCCTCGCCTCTATCCAACCCAGCTCCTTCTACTTATTTATGCCTATTTATGAGCACTCTGCATATATACGGTATACATATATAATAAAATGTGTAATTTTTCTTTTCAGCACCAGGTATTGAACTCAGCCCTCGTGGTTGCGAGGCAGGTGGTGGAACCACTGAGCTAAATCCCTGGCCCTGTAATATTTATTTTAATATGTATATTTTTAATGAAGTATCTAAGCATCATGCAGTAGAAGTTACTTAAAAATGAATAGGTTCCCCCAACTTATGTTTACTGATTAAGAAGTGTGACTATTCTGTTCTAGTTTAGAGAGGTAGAGCTTCACTTTTGCTTTTGCTTCTGTTTGGTGCTATTATGGCTTCTGTGAGACCTTGTCTAACCTCTTTTTCCTTCTGAATATCATTAAGTAGGAGCTATCAGATGGTTCTAGAGACACAAGTTTGCAATCTAACTGCAGTGTTAAGGGACTTGTCTTAGTTTTATTGAGATCTCTGACTCTTTGCATTTCTATGCCTGATGTTCAACTTGTCTACATGTTTATAGTTCAGCATGACTATTGCTAGTTGTAATGATCTGAATTTTTAAATATTTTTGTTACCTCATATATACTAAATTTGAGTGGTCTTATTGACTTACTGTGAATAAAGATGTTTGTATGTTTATTCTCAGAAACTTCTGTGAATTGCATTTAAATTCTCTTAATTTAGCATATTTTAAGATGGAAAGAAACCAGATACTCAGTGGTGAATGCTTTTAATCCCAGCACTGAGGAAGACTGAGACAGGAGATTGCAAGTTCAAGCCCAGCCTAGGCAACTTGGCAAGCCTCCATCTCAAAAAATAGGAAAGGGGGCCCAGGGATTTAGCTCAGTGGTTCTGGCACCTGCCTTGCAAGCACAAGGTCCCAAGTTCGATCCCCAGTACCAAAAAAAAATAGGGAAGGGGCTGGGGATGTAGCTCACTGTGAAGGTCCTGGGTTCAATCCCAGGTACTACCAAAAAAAAGAAAAAAAAATTTCCACTAAGTAGTGGTGAGTCTTCAGGCCAAGTATAGTACCACTCATTTAGCAGGAGTGGTGGGAGGAAAACAGAGAGAATGTCATATATAAAATGGAGTTGATCTGGAGTGTGAATCAGTGCTAAAGTGAAACCCTGGGTTTGAACCCCAACACCACAAAAACAAAACAAACAGATACAGAAACACACTAAACTTGGCAAAGTATGGGAGAAAAAAACAATTACAATACATCTGGTTTGGGGGAAGACTATGTAACATCACTTATAAATATAAAAATGAAGCCAGGCATGGTGATATATTCCAGAAACTATGTGTGATTTCATTACCCTTAAAGAACAAGACTAGCAGCAGTGAGAATTGAAGATATAGTGATCATCACTGGCGAGGTCTTGAAGGACCTTGCCACATTAATTTAGATTTGAATCTGAAGGACGTGGAAGAGAAAGAAGAAGCCTTGGGTTGTTATTTTTACAGTACTTTTTTTGGTACCAGGGAGCAAACTCAGAACCTTGCGCTTATGAGGCAGCTGGGCTAAATCCCCGGCCCTTGGGTTGTTATTTTTAGCAAATAGGATAGCATGATCAAATTATCTATTTTTAAAAGATCACCATAGCTGCGTGTGAAGAATGGACTGGGGAGTAGCAAAGTTGATGACCAGGTTAGAAGGCTGTATAGCAGGAATTAGGCGAGAAATAGTGATATTCAACATGAAGCTTTGTCTTTCTTTCCCTCCCCACTTCTGTAGAGTTTTTTATATTCTTCCATTGCTTAAAGATACAGGTACACGCATACACTGCTTGTAGATATTTTGTTTTTATTATAACATTCTCATAAGAAAAGCAGTTTTTACTACACAGTACAGAAAATGAGATGCTAAATTTTGTGATTTTCTACAGCCTGGGAGATAACGCATAACAAAATATAATTTTTAAAAAGTTAAAAACATGATTGTCATATAATAAATCTGTGTCACAGATTTATTGAACTCATTAATGATAGAATTATCAGGCTGGTATGGATAGCTCAAAAGAAGATGCCAGAGACTGAAGGAAAGAATGCTGGGATATGATCGCTAAATTAGATACAAAACTGGCTAAGGTCCTACAAGACTATTGTAACCTTTGAAGCCAACTTTTCTAACAAATCTTTTGCAACTTAATAGGTTTTGTATTCAATTTTACAAGTCAACAATGATTTAACAGTATAGCTTTAGTTAGTAGTAAATAATAAATCAGAGAAAGTTACATTTCAGTGAAGAGTCAGATAACCCTTAAATGGCCTTGTCAGAGAAAGTTCAGTTTGGCATGGAAAGTACACATAACCAGCCTTTTGTTTTATATCCAAGTTTTGGATAAATTTTTCTAAGCACTCTTCCCTGTGTTTATAAACAATTACAGATTATTATTGATTTCACAAAAGAATTAGATTCTCTGTGGTTGTTACTTAGCTCTGTTAATATACATGGTATGGCAATAAGAACAAAATGACTAATTGACTATAGGCTACTTTGTTGTGTTGTCTCAACACTGGGACTATAGTTCTGAGCACCCATTAAGGCCAGAGAACAAATTTCTGTTAAGAAGCTTTGTAAAGAAGCCAAGTTTCAGTCATTATCATTCCAAGTTTCACCATTATTTCAGAGATTTTAAAAAAATTATTTGTATTTGTATTTTTGGTCCAAGATTAAGAAACCAAACATAATAGATTCATTTCTACCAGCCTTCGCCTACAATAACAACAAATATAGATAAACTCCTTTCTTCTTGAGGTTCTCCAGGTCTGATAAGGCTCCTGTCCTGTCCCAGTAAGGACCTTTCCTTACCATTTGTAGGGCTGGGATCTTGAAAGCCATAGGATAAATGGAATAAGTACCATACATATTTCCAACAAAGATTTTGCAGGTATTGGTTCCATGTATGAAATAAAATATTCTTTCTTAATGGTGGGCTGGCTTTTCATGGCTGATTAAGAGATTTTTAAATATAACTCCAAAGTCTCATATGACAAATTTATTCAATTAATATGGTAACAAGGACAAATTTTTATAGGGTGTTTTTTGTTGTTTTTTGGTGCAGTGTGGAGCAGAACCTAAGAACAAATGTGGACTGGAGTGAGCCCAAGAAGAACAAATTCCTTCTGCAGTTATCCTATGCAAATAACTACATTGTCGTAAAAGTAAATAAACAGTAAAAAATCTGTTCTTTAATTTTGACAGTGAAAATGAAATTCTGTTGAACTTTAAATTTTACATCTAAAAATGTTCTATTTTAGTTTGCAGAAGCATAGAATGCTAAGTTAAAAGTCCAAGATAGATCAAGAGAGAAAGACTTTCTTCATATGCCCACCAGATAATTTTGAAAATACAGTTTTATACACAATGAACATGACATTTCCTGTATCAGTTTATTCATTCCTCTTCAGTTCACTCTTGTTCTTCTGAGTCTTTGGTTAGCATTCTTCTCTCAGAAAGTGATCTGCTTCTAGAGCAAAAAGAGTCCTGGAAATCCCAGCCAGTCTGACAGTCCTTTAAGCAGTATCAGCTTAAGCTTCAAAGTGTACACCCCTGAGTCTTCTCTGAGAGCTATCAATAGTGAAAAATAACAGCTATTTCCACTAAATGCTAGCATCTTCTTCCTTTTTTAAAAGGCTCAATTTCTGTTTGATTTTTTTTTTTTTTTTGTACTAGGGATTGAACTCGGAACCTTGCACTTGTGAGGCAGGCGCTGGAACCACTGAGCTAAATCCTTGGCCCTCAATTTGTGATCTGTAGCTTATAGAAAAGCCATCAGGCAAAGAAGAAAGGAAAATATAAACCTATAGAGAATTATACCGAATAGCTCCATTTAATTAATTATACTAACCAATAATAGAATTCAGGGGGGTAGAATCCTTTAATTGGTATATAACATGACTATCTCAAGGGAGAATTTATCTCATTCCTCTGAGGATAAGAGCATATTATGGACAATGTTGAGAATCTCCAGAGTTTTCCAATCAGAGAAATGTACAGTCCCTGAATCATGTGTTCCAATAATATTATCTTACAAAATTAATCTAAGCATGGCTATATTCTTATTTGACACCTCTTCCCATGATTATAGCAGTGCTTAGAATAATTTTGAATAAATAATTATAAAACAGTCTGTTTTGTGTTGCTATAAGAAATACCTGGGGCTTGGTACTTCATAAAGAAAAGAGATTTTATTTAGCTAACTGTTCTAGAGGTTTAGTTACATGGGGCCAGCATCTGCTTGGCTCTTTTGATAATATGATGGTGACTGACATCATAGTGATGAATGTCAGCCAGGCTTACTTATAACAACCTACTCTTGCAGGACTTCTACAAGAATAAGAATGCACCCCCAAGAAAAAAAGGATTAATCCTTAAAAGCTTAATCACCTGCCACTGGACCTTACCTCTAAATTTTCTACAATTTCTCAACACTACCACACTGGTTATTATGTGGATTCAGCTTGACATGACTGCAGCCAGCTTGAGTTGGTATTATGATTGCCTCTGATTAACACTGGTCAGTTTTCTTCTAGTAGATTTTTCAGCATGCTATAAATAGACAAAACCACTGGGGTAATACATAGAGTTTTACAGTTGGACCCTGAGGCTAGGATTGAGCCTGCTATTTTATATTAGCTTGAGATAAACCAAGTACATTCCACCTTGGATGAAGTTACTTTTGTCCTAACCAATATGTACACCCATACTTCTGACCCATGTGCAGATCCACCTGATCTTAGGGCTTCCTAGGACCATGCTTCTATCAACAAGTTCCCAATAAATTAAAATATTCTTTGCAATCCTGGATCTGCCTACCTCTTTTCTTTGGTCTCACCAACCTCAGGGCTGGCTCTCATACCCTAGGACTGAAATGCTCCAGAACAGCAGACCAAGCTTCTAGTGTATGAACCTTTTGGGAAAACACTTAAACCATATTCAAACCATAATACATGTGAAATAAACCTAAGTAATTCTTGCATTTCTCCTGCTTGTAAGTGTCACATCATAGGGTCCAAGGCAATAGATTATATTTGGTTTATTTTTTATAATAAAGGATGGGATAAAATTGGCACATGTCAAAATTTATTTTATGATTTAGATCTAGAATGTCCCTTGAGGCTTCATGTGATCGGGACTGGGGCTTTTAAAGATGACTGGAACATGAGGGCACCACTCATCAGTGAATTAATCCAGAAATTAGTCCAGAGGTAAGTGTGCTGCAGGAAATGGGCCCTGGTCAGGGGAGACAGGGCACTGAGGACATGAGCTGGAAGGTTATTATATCACCCTGTAGAGCCATCCAGACACTCTGAGGATGCTGAAGCCATGATTCAAGGGAGGCTAGCTTCTACTCCAGCTGGCAGTAGCCCTTTGCATCATCCACGGTGCTGATTTTATGGGTATGCAGAATACAAGAGTCTTGGGATCAGGGAGGTTTCTACCCAGATTTTAAAAGAATGCCTAGGAAACCAGACTGTGTGTCCCTGAGAGTGCAATGCATAAAGCTGTGAGAGTAAAGCCAAAAGTGGGGACCGCAGGGAATTGGAGAGGCCAGGAACACGGAATGTCTCCTGAAGACAGCTGCAGGGAATTATCAAAGTCAACCCAAATGAGAGGCCATGAGCGCTACAACAAGCAATGCCATAGTGCCAGGGCTGCCTAAGCCCTTTGAAGCTCACACCTCACCACCACCTGCCCCAGATGCCAGGCATGAAGCTACAGGATTTAATGTTTGTCCTGCTGGGTTTCAGTCTCCTCTCAGTCCTATTTTTTTCTATTCTCCCTATTTCTCCCTTTTGAAATGAGAATGTTGACCCTGTTTCATTTTATGTCAGCAGTGTTTAACATTCCTTTTGATTTTCACAGGGCCTCACAGCTAAGAGTTTGCCTTGAGTCTCCAGAGGATACTTTGAACTTGGACTTTTTAGCAATGCTGAAACTATTAAGATTTTGTCAACTCTTAAAGATAGGCTAAATGCATTTAGCATAAAGAAATGAACGTGAGTCTTTGGGGACCAGAGGTGGAATGTTATTGTTGAGATCTAGAATGTCCCTCAAAGGCCTCATATGTTCAGAGGTGGAGCTTTTAAAAGATGATTGGATCATGGGGTGTGTACTCATCCATGAGTTACCATGGATGGGTCCAGAGCTAGTTGGTTCTTGGAGGTGGGCCTGGCTGAAGGAGGTGGGTCACTGGGGACATTACCTGGAAGAATATATCCCTCTCTTTGGTTCCTCCTTGCTCCCTCTCTGCTTCCTGGCTGCCATTACATGTGCACCTTTCCACTGTGCAAGCCTTCCTACCATACTGTTTGTCTATTTAAGCCTGCCAAGATGGAATAAAACTTCTGAAACTAAACCACAATAAACCTTTCCTCCTTTAAGTTGGGAGTATCAGTTACTGTATTGTGTCCCAGCACTGAGAAAGTGACTAACACAATGTAATTCTGGTGAGACACAAAATCTCTGCTGTTTGGGGAAATCGCACAGAAAGTAAAGAATGACCTTTCATTTCCTCTTGTAAGACCATCATTTAAGCAAAGATTTTACTGAATTCTAATCTTATATGAATATAATGTTTGGAATTAAAGGTTTCACAAATATTTCAACAAATAAACCTATCAAAATCGAATCAATCTGTCATTTTCCCCTCCATCCCTTCAAAACTTACCATGTTTCCTCCAGTTTTGTCTTTTCACATTTTCTTCATATTTTGTCACAACCATACATTTTACTTGAAGACAAAATTACTTTTATTCCACTTGATAAACCAAAACTACATCCTATTTCTTTACATATATGTTTGGGAGGCCCAAAGACCATTCCCATTCACTAAAATAATTCACTGAATACAGGCAGGCAAGCTCATTAGAATATCTGAAGTTTGTATTTGGTGCTGGACACATAGACACTCTTCTCTAACATGAACCTAAACCCCACACTTCAGAAGGAAAGCAGATGTTCAGAATAAACCACATTGTATGCAAAATTCAAGAAGAGTGATCCACTCTTAACAGTTCTGGAAATGGCAGGAGCCATCCCAAAGTCAAAGTTATCAGACATCAGCTGTAGGGAACAGGGGAAGGGGACATTACTAGAACCTCTGCAGTAAGTCCTAGTCTCCTGCAAGCCACGGCAGCACAAGGCAAATAACAGGAAAGGTAGAAAAATGAGACTTTGAGAAGAAGCTGAGGTTTGGGTCTGATCAGTGCTGCTCTGGGCAGCAAAGACGAAAGTCCCCAGCTTACACCACCTTCTATTCAGTACATCAGGAGAAACAAATGTAACAAATGACTTGGGACAGAGAGTTCAGTACATTGTCATAAACAAGATGTAACACACAACTTGCAGAGAGTTCAGTACATCGATGTAAACAAGATGTAATAATCCAAGAACAATGAGGAACTAAGTAGATGAAGATTTTGTTCCTCCCAGGATGTCTTCAGCTGGTGTAATCTTGTCCTGGAGTGTCACGGCATCACCAGATCATTGAGGTCTCAGTTGTGACCAGAGGCCAAAATGGAATTATGTCTCGGAATGCCATAGCTGGGCTGTAGGCAGGAGAACTAGGCTAACCAAATGATTTTTCCCTAAAATTATGTAGCATTGCTCCCAACAACCAGCTAGTGCCCAAACTAGTAAGGAGGCCTTAGTAAAGATAACACTCTTAGCTTGCTTTTTTAACTCTGCACAATTTTGTTGCCACTATTTTTCCCATATATTCCCACAACTACTCGTATTAATCACAAATTTTCTAACTAAAGTAACTGGGACATAGATGATCAAGAATGCACACAAGCAATTTAGCAGATGTGAGCAGAGTTCACAAAAAACACAATATGACCTACAACCACACACATCCTTTTACACCATTAAATGGCAAAAGTAAACACATATATATGAGGGGGATAGCCTAGGTCTGTCTATGAAAAGGGTCTACAAGCAATGACAAAGCAATGGCAATGATCCACAATCTATGTGATGAGCACCCAATAAAAACATTGGGTATTGACGCTCTAATGGGCTTTCTTCTTAGGTCACATTTCTGATATCCTTCTCCACTAAAAGTAACCAGAGCTTCTCAGAGGAAGGAAACTCAAAGAAACTGGAACACCTTATTCCAGAACATAAAGTAGTATTTTCAAAATTATGATTAGGTTACAAAGACATAGTAGCCTAACTGAAGTATGACCTTCATTGACCAAATCTGGGACAATTTGAGGAGCAAAACAGTTAATACCATAATGAATGATATGTCATTGAAAAAAATAGTAGTTCATGAATTCACATTGATAAGTAAATAAACAAGAGAGGACAGAGGGCCCTTACTTACGACAGAATATCCAATGCCAGCTGGTCAATGTGAAAGCAATGGCAGTGCTAGAAAACTAATGTTTTGCAGCAATCACAGTAAAGGCTGTTTCAAACTACATCTGAGAGTAAATTTTGCTCAAAAAGTTTCAGATTTTGGAGCATTTCAGATTTTGGATTTTGGGATTAGGGATGCTCAGCCAGTATAGTCTATTAAAATACTGTATTACAAAATTTTTTAAATTCTGAAGGCCATAACTCTCTGGTCTCAGGCATTTCAGATAAGAGTACTCAACTTGTATTTTTTAAAAAAGAATCACATTGTTCAAAATTGTTAATGGCATAAGAGACAAAAATGCCTAAGAACTGTTCCAGATTGATTAAAGACATGTAACAACTAAATATAATATACAATACTTACACAATCTTTTATGACAAGAAAAATTCTGAAAAGGACATCATTGATTTGATTTTTTGAAACTGAAATATAAGCAATAGAGTGCTTATACCTGAAGGGGGGGGGGGGGTGATGGGGAATAAAAAGAAACCTAACCCTAACAGAGACAATATTCAAGGTTCAAGGGGACCAGGAGGACCCTGTCTTTAGTGGACAGACTCAATAATCTCCATAATTGAACCACTTATATTAGCCAAGAAGAAGCACAGGGAGAGGGGTAGTGTACTTTTCCCAGAACAGCCACTACAGTAAGAATGGGACAACAAAAAAACAAGGAACAAGTTAATCCTCACAAAGGGAACCAGTTAATAGGGATTAAGTCCTTTCCCCATACCTGGATTCCTGCATTTTCTTGATTCTCCTTAGCAGATGTTATCTTCCCTTAGGAGCACTGTGATTATGAGCTTTCCCCACACAGCCAGGAAGCATGCAGGCTTCTGCGTGTTTCCCTATTTCTGAAGCAAGTCACACTGACCTCAGGACCTTGGGACATGTAGCCTGGCCCCCACCAATCTATACATATCATGGCTGGTTCTCAACAATAGAGTATTGAATCTATGTTAATTTTACTCCAATTGACCATTATATCATAGTTATATAAAGTAATACCTTATTGCAAAAAACACATTGAGGTATTTAGAGGAAGGCATACATTTTGCAATTTATTCTCAAATGATTCAGGAAAAATATGTGCATATAGACAGAAAAATGGTAAACAAAACCTATGTTAACAATACATAAATCCATCTAAAAAGTACTTGTATATCTTTTGTAATTCTATGTTCTCTGTAAATTTCAGATTAAAAATTAAAGTGAGCATATATATATATTAGCATAACCCAAAGTTAGACCTATTCTGTAATGTATAAAAATAAGAGATAGCTATATGTCTGACATATATTTATTAATTTTTATTTTTAAAGAATTTTACTGGTACACTTTAGATATACATAAGGATCACATTCATCACAGTGATTTCTACCATACATAATATATCTTGATTCTTCTTTTTTCTCTAATCTCCTGCCCTCTCTTCAACCTTTCTTCCTCTCCTTATTTATTAATGTTTTGTTTCCATTTTTCCTTCTATTTTTTCTCTTCTTTCTTTTCCCCCTCTCCTCCTCCCTTGTTTTCCTTCTCTTTTGAACATTTTCTTCCTATTTCCCAATATCTATTCAACATATTGGCTCTTATTCACCTTTTTGGTTTCTCATACCAGAGGAACTGCAATATTTTAACATATGTGTCTGATTTATTTCACTTAAAAGTATGACCTGATGGTGCATCAATTTACCTAGAAATGCTCAAGTTTATCCTTCTTTATTGCAGAGCAGTACCCCATTGTATAAAAAGTCTTTTTTATCCATTCATCTGTTGATGAGCGTTTGGGCCATTTCCAAGATTTAACTATTACAAATTGTGCTGCTGTAAACATGGATATGCACCTATTTGTGTAGTATGATGCTTTTAATTCTTTGGGAAAGATACCAAGAAGAGGAATAGTGAGGAAAAATGGAACCTCTGCTTTCAGTTTTTCTGAGGAATCTCCATACTGATTGCCATAATGATTGCACTGTCTACACTTTCATCAACAGTGGAAAAGGCTTCCTTTTTCCCCACAGCCCTGCCAGCATTTGTTATTGGTTGTTTTCTTGATAATAGCCATTCTTTCTGGAGTGAGATGGAATCTCAGTGTTGTTTTAATTTACATTTCACAAGTGACCAGTGATGTTGAACGTTTTTTCATATATTTGTTTACTGTTTGTACTTCATCTGATACATGTTTATTTGTTTCAGATGCCCATTTTTGGATTGGGTCTTTCAATTTGGGAGGTGCAATTTTTTTGAGTTCTTCATATATTCTAGATGTTAGTCCTCTGAGGAGTAAATGGTAAAAAAAATTTTCCCATTCCATAATTTGTCTCTTTACTCTGTTGGTGATTTTTGCGGTGCAAAAGCTTTTTAATAAGATGTAATCCCAGTTGTTGATTCTTTGTAATATTTCCTGTGCTATGGGGTTTTACTCATAAGGGATTTACCTACACCTGTGTCTTCCAGAATTTTGCCTATTACATCTTCCAGCAGATTTAGTGCTTCTGTTTTCATATTTATATTTTTGACCCATTTCAATTTTAATTTAGTGTATGATGAGAGATATGGGCCTAGGTCTAATCTTCACCATGTGGAAAACCAGTTTTCTCAGCACCATTTACTAAAAAGGTTAACTATCTTCCAAATGTAGGTGTTGGGCCCCTTTGTCAAAGATAAGGTAACTGAGTGTGTTTTGGAGATTTTCCTGCATCTTCTAATCTGTTCTATTGATCCTTGGGTCTGTTTTTGTTTTGGGGGGTTTTTGTTGGTGGTGGTGGTGGTGGTGTTTTCCTGTGCTATGCTGTTTTTATGATGTTAGCTTTGTAGTATAATCTCAAGTCAAAGATTGTGCCTTTGTTGTCCAGAATTGTTTTTGCTCTTCTAGATTGGGGAGATCAGATGGGAAGAATGAGGCCTAATTGGCTTCCTCAGTGAACACTGAGAAGAAAGAGGGCATGCAAGCATGCTAACATGCTGCAGGGAAAAGTAAAAACACCTAAGGCTAAGTTGTTTACCCAGAGAAGTACCATGGAGGTTAGGAGACAGATGAATCCTGTGTTAGTCTAATTGCTTGTGCCTGTGTCTGAGGAAATAAAGCCAAGGTGTGCCTGTTATTTGGGGCTCTATGTCGAAGGGAGTTATGACCCTCCCTAGTTCCCCAGATTTCAACTTTTTTCTGTGTCGTTT